GTATACCGGACCGTACCCAGGGTACGTTCCGGCAGTACCCTGGGGGACATAGACCCTATGAGCTCTATTAGGAGTGTTCCAAACTTTGATATCATTAACGATTAATGATTGATAATCGAATTAATCCTAACCCTAACCCTAACCATTAATGACATTAAAGTTGGGAACACTCCTAAATGGAGTATCACTATCACCCTTCATCTTTACACGTTCTCTTAGTCTTACAATAAATAATGATATGTAATCTGAAGAGTAGGGGATAAAAACAAACAATGTAAAAGTCCACGAGCATGTACACATGTTAATCAGGAGCTAATAATGACAAACTTGTCATTATTACTATTAGCTCCAGATGTTAATGTATGTGTGTATGACTATGAGTAGCGAGTAGCGCACCAATGACAATGTAAATTGAATAAAATGGGGTACATAAGATCATAATGCTAAGATGGGACATCAAAACATGAACTGTAATGTTCGTGTTTGCAAATTACAAAGAAAGCAGTATTAATAACGTAATACAAAACTGAATTCCCGAATAATACCGCACACAATCATGTGTGTACATTACCTTCTTAAACAGTAACCATGCATTTTAAACGCGGAAACAACAGATGACTTCAATTTACTTGCCATGTTCCTCGCTGATAAATTTCGCGGGTTATGACAACGTGCTGCCACCTTTCGGGAAAATTACAGCATAGATTTTTTTTTAGATTTTTTTTAGATTTTAAAATTTATTTACGCTTTCAAGTATATTACATTTTTACATATATCACAACAAGTTTTTTTTAAATAAGTACAGCATATTATTGCAATAGTCCCAAAAAATAGGCAATTAACAAAAATAGGCCATAAAAACTATATAATAATATATATTAGGGTTAATATATATTAATATAGATTATATATATATATATATATATATATGATAACCTAACTTTACTTTGAATATTGTTATACACATTTCTGCAAAAAAATTATAATTAAAATTACATATATATTATCAGGAGTAAGATAATATATATAATATATATAGCTATATTATCTTACTCCTGATATTATATATATATATATATATATATATATATATATATGTATGTATATATTTGCTTACTATATATCCCGTTTGTCTCGCAATGGGTGGTCCAAAAGATAATAGAAGAACAAACAATGTAAAAGTCCACGAGCATGTACACATGTTAATCAGGAGCTAATAAGATAGTGTTCTTCTATTATCTTTTGGACCACCCATTGCGAGACAAACGGGATATAGTAAGCAAGTTTCATTTCCGCAATGGATAATATTTTTAACCTTATGTATATATTATAATACAATGAGT